TTTACCGACATTGGCTATAGGGAGGAGATGAAAAAAAAAATAGAAAGAGTTTAAAGCTTTAAGAGAAAACCTTGATCTTCTTCTTGGATGCTCTGAGATCATGTTAAACTTCCATGGCAATTAAGAATGGCTGAATTGAATCTACATAAAGTGAGCTGCTATAGGTAATAGAAAAATAGAAGATTTTCTTTAATAAACAGATTAAAAGGTAAATATTAGCTCACTATCTCTATTACAATAAATATGTGTGTGTGTATTATATATATATATAAGAAGAGAAGAGATAGAGTATTCTAGAGAATGGTGCATGTCTATTATCCTGATACCCCTTTAACTCTTTCAACATCTAACTCCTATAATAACATTATTGCACATATAAACTAGCAATTAAATTTATACAACATATTTTATCATTGAATAAATAAAAAAAATTATAAAAATTTTCAACAATTCTTCCACTTCTAACATAACATACATCACATTCTCACTTATTTTACTTCATCATCTATATTTTGTTTTAATCATAATTTTTAATATATTGAAATGGGGGAGAGAGAGAGAGAGAGGGTTGAAAGTCAAGCATTTGACCCCATTCCATGTTTAGCATAACATGACATCATAAATTCCACCATGTGACGCACATTTTCTTTCCTTTTTCAAGAAATTGATAAAGCTGGCATGATCTTGCAAACATATTTGCAGGGGACCACCACTACCAGTTTATCACATCAATGTGCTCAGAAAATAAATAGTTAAGAAATTATAATCATAGATGCTTAAACTTTAAATTAAGATCGCAAGTTCTCAAATTCTGATTAGGAGATTTTGAATCACTGCAAATTATAGAAAACACATAACATATTCTCACCCATCCGATCCACATTTTCTTAAATATCTTGTAATTAATTAATTACGTTTATCGTTTCCTTTTCTGGTGTGACACTAATTAATTAGCACAGTAATTATGTAGAAACTACTAGTTATCTAGTGCTTAATTAGTTTCATGAATATATATATATATATATATATATATATATATATTAAAGAGTACAGTCACTTTGTTATATATTAAAAAAGTATTATATTTTATTTTTTTGAAGGGATATCTTGATTGTGAATCACAACCAAATAATAAAGTATAAGAAGAGAGAGAAAAAGAGATTGTGAGATAATAGCAGATCTTGTCCTTGGTTTCAACCACCTTTTTACCTTTAATTATACTTATATTCATAGAGGATTGAAATTATTGTGAAATGACAATTATATCCACTATTCTCTTCAGTCGATCGACTTTTGATCAGTCAATGTATGGCCAGTTGGCTTCTTATTAGTCCCCCTTTAATCGATTGGTTTCTGGCCGACCGTCTGCTCGTTCGGCCTTTGTCAGGTCAATCACTATCATCCGATTATTCATGCTTCAGATATCTCTGCATTACTTTACAAAGTCTAACATCCAACACGTGCCTTATTTTTATTGTATGTGATCTTATTTCCCTGTTTTTGTTAACCTATTTTTCCCCCCAAACCTTCACACAGTACTAATTTGTGTCAGCACACGTGTTTATTTATTATACATTAATTATATTTGCATGTATTTAATTTATTATTTGTTTGAATTATGTTGAGTGTGATTTTTATCTTTCATAATAGAAATAATAATAGTGATTAAAATTACAATTCTAAGGTGTTCTCCTCCGAGTAAATTATAATTATTATTTTTAAAAAGCGTGTAGCTTTTAAGATTTTTCTAAGTTAAACATCTTTTAAATAAAGATAAATTCAATGAATAATAACTCCTTTTTATTCACTTTAATTGAACAAATATTTGAACCCAATTTCAAAATTAAATTCAAATGACATCCAAATGCTTACTAGAAACACATTAGAGACCTAATTAAACCCATTTAACTTGTTAGGAAAAAAATAAACTTGCATGATAATTGTCACAATTTATGAACTTGAATATTTAAGATAGTCTAAACATGTCTAATATGAGGCTTGATGAAACTATATGAAATTAAGGAAATTTATATACTTGGCACATAATTCATATGTATTTATATATTTCGCATCTAAACATTCATATTTATATACATAACACTTTTGGCGCTTTAACTTCAGCGTGCATAATTTTATTTTAGTGGATCCTTGCAAATATATAATTAAAAGACCCTGGTGATGTTGTATTGATACACAATCTAGAAATTTTAAACATCCAACACAGATCTGGAGGAGGTTTGACACAAATTTCTAGATATACTTTTAACAAAAATTATTCAAATTTTGATTAAAAGTCACTCAAAACTCTTATTTCAACAAACTTACAGTTACACTGGCTGGCTAGATGAGACAAATATGATGATACCAAAGTTGGACAAATTCAAGTAAAATTAAGTCCAGATCAAAATGTTAAATTGCTTTTGAAAGCTTTCGGTGCAAAATTGAATTGTTAAACAAATTTCAAATTTGGTAAGCTTATAATCAAATCGAGCAAATAGGAGAGACGGATCCTACGAGCCCAAGATTGCTCAATTTTAACATCATTAAAGCATTCAAAATGTTCATCGATTGTTATTCTATTGACGGAATTTTTTGATAAGGTCATATGATTTCTTATTAATTTGTAATATGAACTCTATTCATAGAGTCATATCCCATCTTGAAAAGGAGATCCACTCCTTGTGCCATAAGAAGATACAAACATGAAGGGGTTAAAATTCAACGTTGTTTGTGCAACGCAAATACCTCCCACTCCGGAAGATGTTGCTGCCACCTCTTGGCAATGTTGTTGGTCAACTCACAACTGCCATAGGCCAACTTTGGCAGTCGCCGCCTTCGCCTCGGCCCAACTCCCGACACCGCCTCTGTCCAACTCCGGTCACCTCCGCCTTCAGCAATCATTGTTTATGACCTGCTTTGATAGCTGCCTTCGGCCAACTCTAATCAACATTTGCTGGCCATCGTTGACTGCCATTGGCCGCCTCCTATTCCTTACAACGAAGCCACTTATGAAGTCACAACATGCATTGTGGAATCTCAATTTACGTTGTATAATAATGAATGAGGGGTGTAAGTGAGTCAAGCCGACTTGTGAGCCGGCTTGAGCTCGATTAAATAAATGACAGGTGAACTGAGCACGATGAGCTAAGAAGTCGAGCTCTTGCTAGCCTAGAATTGACTCTTTAGCTCATGAGCCAGCTCATTTGAATAAGTATTAATATACTATACTCAAAAATATTTTAAATTTGATGGATTTATATTCAAAATATTAAAAATGTTTAAAAACATAATATTTTCTATTATATATTAAGTGATTTCTTATTATTTCTCTCCTAATTACATGTTCTATTTGTCATTTTATCATAACATTACCTCAAATCACTATTATTTTTACTCTAAGCAAGTTGGCTTGTGAGCCGGCTCGATCTCGAAAGCTTAAGCTCAAGCTCGATAAAATCAATCAAGCTCAAGCTCAAGCTCAACCTGATGGTGGTTCAATATCGACTCATTTACAGCCCTAAGTGAATCGCCAAACCGATTATTGTCATCAAGTACGTCGTACAACATGTTCAAAAGAATACGGTGAAGACACACCCTAAATACGGTGTAACAATTCACCCCCAAATTCTATATGACATACCCCAATAACCGTGTAACAACACACCTCTATTCCTTGAATATGGCGCAACAACACACTCTAGGACGATATAACAACGCACCCTGAATACGTGGCAACGATACACCCCAACTTTTTTAATTCAAATTTATTCTATCTCATTTAGCTAAGAAGAATTTTTCTAATAATTGCAAAAGTAATTATCCACCCACTTATGGATGATGCAAACCGAGATTGGTAGATAGACCATTTTTAAGCCTAGGCGTTTAAAAGAACGTACCACTGACTCCCCGCATGTTCAATCTGAATTTTAAGCCAATACGCCTTAGAATAAATTCTCTTCATTCAAATTTCAACTGAAAGAATAAAGGAATTTTTACGTACACACAACATATTTTCTATGCATTTTATTCAACATTAATTTTTTTTCATTTGCATTAAGTTTCCAAATATTTATTTAACTTTTAAAAAATAAACAATAATACAAAATTTAAAGCAAAGTTAAAGTTTTCTATCATACTCATAAATATGAAAAATTTAAATTTTAATAAATAAATGCAAATGAATTATTTGATATGTATGTAAATGCCACGATAATGAGTTGAGCACATAAAAATCATAAAAATTATTAGATACAAAATAAACAGAAAAAAAGGCTCGTTTGAAATCCGTTTTATTTTTTTATGGCGAACTTCTGTGAAATGAAAGTGTCCACGGACGTCCGATATTATTGAAAAAAAGGGGCTAGTTTATGAATTGAATAGAGTTGCGAGCCTTCCAAGCAAGGGAGTCCATTCATTCCGGCCAGTGCAAGTGCCTTCGGTCAGTTGACAACTTAGTTTTCAAATTTTCCTCGCGGGCAAATGGGCATTGGTACCGTACAGGCCTGTCCGGGAAGCAAGGACTGAAACCAACATTGGTTGAAACCGCTTTGCTACTGATTTGCTTGGAACAAACCCTTAATGCACTACTAGCGTTGTAGAGCTTGAAAGCGGCTTGGCTAGCACTCAGACTTACACGGATTGGACTTCAACCGTGCTACTAGGCCTAAAAGCTTTTATTATAATAATTATTATTTATATTAAATTTAAAATAAAATATAATTATTTTAAAAACACTAGAACAAGTAAAACATCTTTTAGATATTTCAAAAAATACATTAATAAATAAACATTTACATAATGTTCATCCAAATCTTTCATATCACATCAATACTATAATTATTTCAACTTTAAATAAAATAAAACAATCATTTTATACATCAGCAACAATTCCTTAATTTATTTTTAGAAATAAAATAAAAAACATGAAAAAAAATATATCAAATAAACATTAAACAAAAAAACAAAAAACAAAATTAATTGCAAACAAGCCCAAAATTTGTCTCAAGCAAAATTAATTCCCCAACAATCCATATTGAAGAAAACCAAAAGAAATAAAGTGCCTAAAATCTCTGTAACCAGACAACTCAGAATAAATAAACAGTTAGAACTCATCCAACCGTCCATCACTCATCAAACGGCTGTCATTTCATCGCATGATCCGGCTGCACACCCTCGACACGTCAGACTGCTGCACGGGCTTCAGAATAAAATCCTCCGCCCCTTCCTTCATGCACCTGCGCGGCAATCTTAAAGCATTAATAAATAGTTATTATTACACTTTAATAAATAGATAAATTATTAAAAAAAATGAATCATAGACCGTACATGCTGATTCTGGTGGGGACGTTCTCAGACGACATGATGACCACCGGAATCCTCTTCAGGTCTTTTGATTCCTGCTCCCACATTTATCATTTAAATATAAAGTAAATAATTAAATTAAATAAAAATATTAATAGCAAAATATTTTACATTTATTTATTTATTTATTTTGCAGAAATAGTATATCACCTTGATCCTCTTTAGAAGCTCGAAACCCGTCATTTCTGGCATCCAGTAATCGGTAATTATCATATTCACATTCGGTTCCTGCAATCATTAAATATTAAATCCTTTCAAGTATCACCTTACACCTTACAATGTAATTACAGGCCGGTTTGGGACAGTTTGTAAGTGGGGTGGTATTTTCGAAAACACCGTCTAATAGTTTGATTTGCACATTTTTTAAAATGTTACATGCCGCATTTAGGTCTTTTACATTAAAGTTGTGTTTTAGGATAAACAGTTTATCCTGAAACACACAGGCGACACGTAGCATCGAATTAAATCCTTCAACAAATCCCCTTACAGTTCAAAATTGTCAAAATTAATTAAAAAAATAAAAAAAATAAATACCAAGCCGAGCATCTCGAGCGCCTGCACCCCGCTCTCCACAGTCGTCACTGCAACAAAATTCACACATAAATCCATCACAATCTCAACATTGCAAAAAAAAAAAAAAGCAAAATGCAATTTCAGAAATAGAAAGGGACCTCTATGCTTAAAATTACGCAGCAGCCTGGCGATGACCGCACGGTCGACGGAGCTATCATCGACCGCCAGCACATGCATCACTCTCTCCCCCTCGCCACCGCCGGCCGCCGCCATTTCCGGCCAAGAGAAAACACAGATGAGATAGAGATAGAAAGTGAAACGATGGAGCGAGCCAGACGCAAATGTGAGGGAGAATAATGCTTCCTTTTATAGAGAGAGAAAACTTATGGAACCGAATAGCGCACCAAATCTGCCCGGACCTGCGCGGGCCCCGTACCTCGATTCTCTTCAGATTTGCTTTCCCTCTCTACAACAACATCTGCTTCCCTCTCTCTCTTAAAATTGCAAGCGAATCTTGCTCCGAGGGGACGTCATTAAATGGTTCCTCAAGAGGAGAGAAGCGCAAAAGTCCACTCCTCGACGGCGGGCGTCATGACGTCAGCGAATCGGCTGAATTTATAATCCACAAACACCTAAGATTTGTGGGGTTGGATTTGTAATTACAAATTTATAATAAAATACCTGTTTTGTTAGCTAATAATTAGGGCTGTCAAAACACCTTTTTGTTTGCAAACAACTCGTGTTCTGCTCGTTAAGAAGGTCGTTTTCGGCTCGTTCGTGTTCTCGAAATACTATTATATATATATATATATATATATATACATACAAAATTTATAATCAATTAAAAGTATTAATGAAGAAAATATAATAATAACTATTAATTTAGATTCAAATGATGTTTTAAATCTTGTCTCAATCTTTAATATTTTATGACTACATGATTAGGGTTGTCAAAACGATTCTTTGTTCGTAAACGGCTCGTGTTCGGCTCGCTAAGAGAACAAGTCGAACACAAAAACACTTTTTGAGCTCGAAATATAAATAACTATTAATTTAGATTCAAATGATGTTTTAAATCTTGTCTCAATCTTTAATATTTTATGACTACATGATTAGGGTTGTCAAAACGATTCTTTGTTCGTAAACGGCTCGTGTTCACGGCTCGTGTTCGGCTCGCTAGTGTTCGGCTCGCTAAGAGAACAAGTCGAACACAAAAACACTTTTTGAGCTCGAAATATAAACGAGCCGAACAAGAGCGAGCCTGGGCCTTATATGTTATAAATTCTGAGATTAAAATAATGTCATATAAATGAATGGGGATTATTTTTTGATATGTTAGTTTTATAAAGATATTTGCTAAGGAGAGTATTAAGGAGGATAATGGGGGAAGGGGGATTAATTATGTATCCGGATTAGGTGAGGGTGAATCTGTGGTCCTTATTAGAGAGATTTTGTTGCTGTGTTTTGCATGGGTGTGTGAGCTGGGGGGGCGGGAGGGGATTAATTGAACCGGGTAAAGTGGGCCGGGTTGGAAGATTTGCAAACCCGGTTGGGATTTTTGAGATTTGGTCGTACCGGAGGTGTTTGGGGAAGCGGATGGGCTCTGCGGGAACATCAAAACCATGTGGGGAGATCGCTTGATCAGAGTGAGGCATATGAGTGCGTCATTATGTTTTTTTTTTTAAATGATTTTTTAAAAACTGGTTGGAGAAAAAATATGAATTAAAAAAATATGAAAAAAAAAAACGTTTGATTACACGTTATCAAGTACATAATACCTCTTTGGGTGTTGACAATGGAGAAAGTTTTATATACGACGTCTGTACGTGAGCTACATATGGATGAAGGACGCAATACACCGGCGAGTCATTCTTTTTTTCCGCTGGTGTATTGCGTCTGTCGTTCGTAACTAGCTCGCGTATGATGACATATATGAACTTTTTTCATTGCCAATGACCATGATTATAGAAAATCACAAATAACATCTTCAAGTGCCATCAAGAAACGCCATATTCACAGAAAATTTATGGGAGATGATTCATGTTGATAGCTTAAATCAAATTTGAATTTTTATTTTTAGTTCAAGAAATAAGTTCAATCAATTTATTGTAGCAGTGCTGTGGGTGTACTGCTTTTTAGAAAGCGCTTGTCCGCACGTCCGAATTCCGAGGGTGGAGTTAGAAAAAAATTTTAATGAGGACACAAATTAATGATTTTTAAGAAAATGTTTAATAATTTTTATCGGGATTTAAGATCGATATTAACAACTTAAAAAATTATTAAATTATTTAATTACTAGAGTAATATAAATAGAAAAGATCTGAATATGTTATGTTGCGATTGATGCTTGTTAATAGGCTTCTAGAGCAAAACACTACACGTTAAGGACTTGAAGCTCGGCATGGCTCAGGCCACACTGACAGGAGGGAGGACTTAGAGTTTTTATTTTGACCTCAAACTCTCAGAGCTACAAAGCTTGGTTGAGCTGTTAGAAATGGTCAACAAGTATATCGTCTCTTATGAGAACGCTCCTAAGCCCACAAAACAGAGACACCGGAAGAGACATTCACATGACAGTAAAGGAAAACCAAGCAAAATGCATGACTGTCCAACCGCCCCCCGCTACGAGGGTTACCCCAACAATCACTCGGCCCAATGTCATGAGGATCAGAGGCTACAAACCAAGGCCTAGAATCACCAATCGTCCCACCATCGTGAACACCCCCAGTATAATCTCGGGGTCCCCCACGAAAGCACACTCAAGGTGTCCATGACATAAATAGTTGACATCATCCACGATAAGGAGCTCTTCAGGAAAACAATGCTGATGAAGGTCAGAGCATTTATTCGGGATAGCAGAAAATATTCTAAGTACAACAGAGATCACAGACACGATACAAAGGATTGAGAACAATTGTGAAGTATGATCAAGGAGCTGATAAAGGAGGGAAGTTGAAAGAATTTGTCGCCCCTGGAGCAACGACCCAAAGGCAGGGCAATTCTCCCGCGAGAAGAGCGACCGACGGGTCCATCCGCACAATTGTCATTCACATTGTGGGGTACGTACCCGTAATATTTGGAGCAAGCAAACCACATAGGATAACAAGTCGGAAGAGACAGCAAGAAGGGGAACTTTGCACCGCAACCTTTTCCATGAAACTCAAGGGGCACCTGCCTATTTATTTCACCGCCTAGGATTTTTCCTCAAAGGGAAATCCATATAATGAGCTATTATAATAACAACGATAATTAACAATTATCAAATAGGAAGAGCCTCATTAATACATGGAGCTTTCTGAATGCACTATTCAAGCAAGTATTCGACAAACTACGTCTCACTACCGAATGAATAACTAGGTTGGTCGATCCGCTGTATAGATTTTCGGGCAAAAGGAAGGAGGTATTGGGGGTGGTCAGGCTCCTGGTAAGTCGGGGAGAAAATGAGAAGCAGTTTTTGCTCACAAAAGATTTCCTTGTGGTGTATTTACCCTCAACATATAACGCTATACTCGATAGACCACTACTGAATGATTTCAGAGCGGTGATCTCTACTTACCATGTTGCTATGAAGTTTCCTGGAGATGGATAAATTATCACGGTTAGGGGTGACCTGGAACAATCCTGGTAAGCAACGTGTATCACGATCCTCTAGACATCCATAACACAAGAGGTGGCCACCGTGAAGTTTCAACAGTCGAAGGAGAATTAGGCAGATATTATTTTGATAAGTGATGCTTTTAGTGCATGTCATAGGGAGCAACTGGTCAAAACGGAGAAAAGCATCTTAACATAACAAACAAAATGATGCCACCTTATACCAAGGAGTCAATCTAATTCCATCCATGCATTGACACACCACGCTTGCCATGTGGTAGCAAATCGTTGGCAATATCGTGCACTCTAGATGGCGACAGAGTACCATCTTCTTCATTGAGGTCTGTTCAACTGTCAAATCTTGGTTCATGGCAAGTGGTTGAACCAATTAACCGTCACTCAAGCCACCCAACCTACCACCATTGTCCTCTCAAATTTTCTTACACTAGAAATCATGAAAAAATTAAGAGGACCCTACTTCATCTATCAACTTGTCTTCTTTCCACTTTTTCATAACTACCTTCTTCTTCCTCTTCCCATATTCTAGGTATTGCACCACTGGCTCCCCCAATGGCGTTAATCATCATTTCCCTTCTTAAAAGAGGATCGAGAGGGTTCGAGACATTCTCCATAAAAGGCTTTGAAAGCCGGCTGAGTCGGGCGAGGAAATGCAAAGCAAATTTGAAATATCAAAGGAGTCTCATCATACCCTATTTATAAAAATCATGGGCTCAGAAATCTAGAGTGTTTACTTATTGAAACTTTGATTACGAAGTAAATGATATGCATTTTATATTTAATTTTCTTATTCTTATCACAACACTACTTTTAAAAAGTAGGAGAATCAAAGAACTAAAATATGTAAATCAAGAATGTGTCAGCATGAATCTCAAGTAGAACTAACAGTCCATAAAGAATGGAGTAAAAAAAAGGCTCAATGACAGAAGATCAAGAGGTCCCACTAATTTGATTAGATGCCGCCATCAGAGCCAAAGAAAAAGGAAAACTGAGTCATGAGAATGACAAAGAAAACGATCCATGTCCAAGCCGATCTAACTTGAACAGACAGATCATCACCTGAGCTAACCACCAACGAAAAGTTGAGAAAATACATCGACCTAAAACTCTCAAAGCTACAAAGCTTGGTAGAGCTGTTAGAAATGATCAACAAGTATATCGTCTCCTATAAGAACGCCCCCGAGCCCACAAAACAGAGACACCGGAAGAAACATTCACATGACAGTAAAGGAAAACCAAACAAAATACACAACTATCCAACTGCCCCCCCTCCTACATTGGCACACCACACTTGCCATGTGGTAGCAGATCATTGGCAATATCATGCACTCTAGATGGCGACAAAGTACCATCTTCTTCATTGAGGTCTGTTCAACTGTCAAATCTTGGTTCATGGCAAGTGGTTGAACCAATGGACCGTCACTCAAGCCACCCAACCTACCGCCATTGTCCTCTCAAATTTTCTTCCACTAGAAATCATGAAAAAATTAAGAGGACCCTACTTCATCTGTCAACTTGTCTTCTTTCCACTTTTTCATAACTACATTCTTCTTCCTCTTCCCATCTTCCAAGTATTGCACCCTTGGCTCCCCCAATGGCATTAATCATCATTTCCCTTCTTAAAAGAGGATCGAGAGGGTTCGAGACATTCTCCATAAAAGGCTTTGAAAGCCGGCTGAGTCGGGCGAGGAAATGCAAAGCAAATTTGAAATATCAAAGGAGTCTCAT